CATTCTCGATTACAACCAATTAACGGAGTAATTCTCGACGGGATAATGTCTATAAAAAAGTCGGATGCCTTTCAAAATCAAATGAAATCAATCAACAATCGATTCTATTTGTATTTATCCAAATGTCAAAATGATATATTCTGTGCAATAGCCTTCAAACGTGTCGCTGGTACTGATGAACATATTACAACTGTCACATTAACGTTACAAATGCTTTTCTTGACCAATATGACAAATCCGATGTGCACAACTAATTTGGGATTAAATAATTGGAATTTATTTACTATTATTGCTAGTCAAAGCATTGAACCTATTTCTGTTCGTCCACTTGCTGCAATACTAATTGCACGTCTATATCGTTGTTCAGTCGAAGATCAACGGTTTTTATCTCGAGCATTGCCAATATTAATTACTTTAGCAGAACAATCGTTAGCGCCAAGTTTAGTCGATCCACCTGGTGCATATCCAGATGATGGAAATGTTTTAAGTATAACAACAGTTTGGAGCGATTTTGTTGGTTTCACATTGGAAGAAAATTTCAAAACAAATGCTAGTTTTTTCAATGACTTTTGCGTCAATAGTGGCGTTATCAATGAGTTTTATTTAGCACCAACAGGTCCAATGCCAATATGTCGTGAAAGACAGCAATCAAAATACAATTATACTATTCCATCTGTATTTACTGATATATTATATACGAAAAATCCTCGTTATTGGGGACAATTTCAAGTTAATTCAAAAATATTTCGATCAAGCAAAGGTGGTACATTACTATTTAATGGAGATTTAGATTATAATTCACCAATGTACACAGCACATCAAACTCAAAAATGGTTTCAATCTGAACAAATCCGTACAAAATTAATCGAAATGAAAGGTTTAACTCATGTCACTAGTGCACAATCGTATACCAAAAAAGGTGGATTTCAATCAACAACATGTACAGATCAGATTATCGTTCAATTATTGTATCAAAAAGAGTTGAATTTAGATTTAGAAACAATAGATTACACATGCAGTTTAAAAGAAAATTTAATTGGCATTGATTGGTTTTATTCGAATCCAATTGTCAATCAAACATTGTATACATTATTGGGTAATTCAACAACAGATTATTGGGGAATAAATACAACGAAAGATGAATTAGTCGAATCAACAACAAACCAGTCTGAAAGACTTTATTTCAAACACATATTCTTAATGTCATTGATGATACTGTTGATTTGTATATCAATGTCAATTTGACTGATCTAAATAAAATATTGACTAAATAATGTATTTGAAAATCTGTTTGATCGAAAGAAGTTGAAACTGATTTTTCAATTATTGAATTCCATGAGTTGGCTAACAAGTAGTGTTCGGCCTGATCCAGAGGCATGAGTCCGGGTAGACACTCGCCGGGTCGAGTTCGGTACCGAATATAAAACAAATTGCTGAGTCAGACGTGGATGTGAATGTGATTATGATGATAAAGTGAAAACAGACTTACACCTACGTCAATGCCCTACACCAATATTCTCTTTCTGCATCATTTTCTTATCGTTTTTCTTCAAGATGCTTGTATATATACCAAAAACAAAGCATTCCAATGCAAATTTACGCGTAACAAATGAATGTATATTGAAGACACATTCAGAGATATGAAAGCCACGCTTATCTTATCCATTTTATTTTTGTCAACGAATCACAAGTATAAACTTAACCCTTGTATGCATAGATAAAGAATAGGCTGATTTTCGTATTATCCTATCCCTTATAAAATATACAAATAGGGTTACGAAAAGAATTTGTCTGTCGAACTTGTTGTGGTGAGATATTAATATTGTTTCTTCATATGCTCTGAAACCTATATGGATGTTTGCACCTTTCAAATATTGCAGATCCGAAGTTGGTGTGATTCAAAGTACTGTTATTCCCGGTTATACCGCGTCACCATGCATATTTATTAAGGGTCATATCTATTCAATGAATTTAAAATTTTTAACAAAATTTGAATCGAAAACGCCTAATATTAGTATTTATGGTAAGATAAAAGGAGATACTTATTCTTGTTCATACGTTCATGCAATCTAAGGTATCATTGGCGATCAAGCTCTTTCATTTCTGGATAATCAAGTAAATGCATGTGAACACAACTGCCATTGCTCGATCAATCAGAATGATGCCACTTCAATTTTATTG